GGGGGGGGAGGGGGGGTCTTTCTAGCGAGCAGGGCTAGACTCACACCAAGGGACTGATACCTTGTTGCTGCGGCACGCCCACCGCGAGGCGTGCGTAGTGGTGGAGTTGGGTTGGCACTGGTGCGTCAGGTACAAAGGTGCAGATGAGCGGGCCTCCGGGTCGTCGGTGTAGGCAGCAATGCCCATCTCATCTTTGTGAGCGGAGGCAGACGCCATCAGGAACGTGGACGGGCACTATGTACACGGCCCTAGGTTTTCTAGAGGGAGCTGTACTGTCTCAGTAACCTGGTTTTGCCATCAATGGAGGAGGGGACAGGTGGTGACGAGCTGATTGGGCTGGTTGGCCCTTCGGCGAGAGAATTTTCAAACCAAACACCTTAAGCGCAACGATGGAGAAAGCGAGGAACCGACTGGGAAGGACAGCAACGAGAGCGTGTACGAAGCGGAGCGGGTCGAGGTTGGTCGTGGTAGGACAGGCCACAGCGGCACCGGAGAAGCGGCACCGGAGCAGCGGAACCGGAGCATACGGACGGCATCGAACCGTGGCGCACGGACAAACATCTCTTGTGCTGTCAATTTTCTTCCGTTTTTTTCCTGAACATATAGACTAGGTGTTGGATGTGTGTGATTGCGTCGTCACTGGTTTTGTAATAGACGCGGCAGAGATGGAGCGGATAACCCGGGTGCCTTAAATGTGTACCTACATCGTGGAAGACGCCTTCAATGTGAAACGATTCCTAGTCAGTGTCGATGTTTACACCACTGTGTCTAACACAGATGATCTGGATTGTTGTTGTTGTTGTTGTGTTTCTTCACATTAACTCGTGTCAGCTGCTAATCCCAAAATCCAGCAAAGACTCGGTCCGTGGTCACAAGAATGGTAGAGCCATCAGAAGATCTGAAGAACACGCACACTATTAGCAAGAAAAGGGTACGCAAGCCCGAGGAGGTACACCTGCAATCCCTGCAGCACGTTTGCGTGCTCACAACTGAACTACACGCCCACACACTACAAATCGACTACAGCAACAGCATCACCCCCCTTGTCACGCATTTAACCAAAATGAATGTTTGTCGACTACATACAGCGTACTACTACTGCTGTCTGAAGTGATGTCTGTACAATAATGACACCATGGTGCATGGTACACAAGCTCGGGGCATGGAGCTGCTGTCTGAAGTGCTGTCAGAATGAGTCCGTGGACATACAATGAAGAAGAACACCCAACCAAAGCCATCATTCCAATGGACAATCACCCGAATCTATCCAGATCATCTGTGTTAGGCACAGCAGTGTAAACATGGACACTGACCAGGAATCGTTCCACATTGAAGGGGTCTTCCGCGATGGNTGAGTCCGTGGACATACAATGAAGAAGAACACCCAACCAAAGCCATCATTCCAATGGACAATCACCCGAATCTATCCAGATCATCTGTGTTAGGCACAGCAGTGTAAACATGGACACTGACCAGGAATCGTTCCACATTGAAGGGGTCTTCCGCGATGGAGGTACACAATTAAGGCACCCGGGTTATCCGCGCCATCTCTGCCGCGTCTCTCTACAAAACCGGTGACGTCATCACACACCCAACACCTGTATATCAGGAAAAACAACGGAAAAATAAATACAAGAGATGTTTGTCCGTGCGCCACGGTTCGACAATACAAGATATGTTTGTCCGTGCGCCACGGTTCGATGCCGTCCGCCTGCTCCGGTTCCGCTGCTCCGGTGCCGCTGCTCCGGTGCCGCTTCTCCGGTGCCGCTGTAGCCAGTCCAAGCACGACCAAACTCGACCCGCTCCGCTTCGTACACGCTCTCGTTGCTGTCCTTCCCAGTCGGTTCCTCGCTTTCTCCCTCGTCGCACTTAGGGTTCTCGGTCTGAAGATTCTCGCGCCGAAGGGTCAACCAGCCCAATCAGCTCGTCACCACCTGTCCCCTCCTCCATTGATGGCAAAACCAGGTTACTGAGACAGTACAGCCCCCTCTAGCAAACCTAGGGCCGTGTACATAGTGCCCGTCCACCTTTCTGATGACGTCTGCCTCCGCGCACAAAGATGAGATGGGCATTGCTGCTTACACCGACGGCCTGGAGGCCCGCGCATCTGCACCTTTGTACCTGACGCACCAGTGCCGACCCAACTCCACCACTACGCACGCCTCGCGGCGGGTGCGCCGCAGCAAGAAGGTATCGGTCCCCTGAGGGCGAGTCTAGCCCTGCTCGCTAGAAAGACCCCCCCCCTCGCTATGGGTCATGCCTGCGCAAAACCTTGCCGAGGCAGCGAGGGGAAGAAAGGACAGGTTCGGGTGATAGTCAATTGCAATGATGATGGCTTGGTTGTTCTTCTTCATTGCATGCCCACGGACTCGTTGTGACAGCACTTCAGACAGCAGCTTCCTGTCCTGAACTTGAACTATGCCTACCATGGTGTTATCATTGTACAGGCAGCACTTCAGACAGCAGTACGCTGTAGTCGACAAACATACATTTTGGTTAAGTGCGGGACAAGAGGGGTGATGTTGCAGCTGTAGTCGAATTGTTAGGGTTGGGTACTGAACCAGTACGTACTGGCAGTGCACATGCGCTGGCAGTGCGTGTGCACTGGCTGCGTCAGCAGCCAGTACTCCAGTACATTCCAATATTCGCAGATTTCCTCGATAAGAGGCCTCAAGAACCAGCGGAAACCCATCTACCGAAACAATCGAACACCCCCGCGGCCGCGAAGAGGGGCTAGGGTAGTGGCTGTCTTTGATGGTGGCTGTCTTTAATGGGGAGGATCTTAGTTTGGTTTTCTGCTGAAGGGTGCTGGTGGCGCAAAGAATCGCCATCCCAAGTCTCTGCTTGTTGTGCTGGTGCTAGCGGCAGTGATTTGTGCGCGGTGTAGGTTTGGGTTGTGTAGGTTTGGCGCTGTTCTTATCTCCTACTTGAGCATTCTATCAAGCTGGTGGTTCATTTGTTGCACAACTTATCCTGTCGTTTCTAGGGAAACAAGTAGATGGACTAGTCGTTTCCTTTTTAGCTTTTAAGCTCTTAGCTGGTTTCCTGGTATACGTTCAGGGCTGCCGTGTTGTTGTGTCCTTCGTAGAGTCCTTCGTGTTTATGCGAGAGAGGGGCTGTAGACTCCAGTATCCGAGAGCGTCGCTCATCAACCCAACTGATGGATGTCACTTGGTTGCTTGGGAGTAGCATTTGAATAATTCTAGTTAAATATTTCCTTATGTCGAAAACCAACAAATTCAGTCGTTGAACTCGAAATTTCTATCGTTTCCCCGCGATAGTGCCTGTGTCAGATGGGCCAAAATCACTCATTTTTTGTGCTCTAGTTAAGCCAAATCGCTAGAAAGCGCCTAACCAGCCGGGGGTGGGGCGATGGTCGCGGCGCAGCCGCGACCTAGGGGCTTCTCCGCGCCACCAGTGTACTGATCGGATCCGGTATACTGGCTCCTGACGTAGCCAATATACTTTGTACTGGCGCTGCGCGCCAGTACCCAACCCTACGAATTGTAGTGTGTGGGCGTGTAGATCAGTTGTGAGCACGCAAACGTGCTGCAGGGATTGTAGGTGTACCTTTTCGGGCTTGTGTACCCTTTTCTTGCAAATAGTGCGCGTGGTTTTTAATAGTTTTTTAGATCTTTTAATTGCTCTGGCTTTTTATTACCACGGACCGAGTCTTTGCAAGATTTTGGGATTAGGGACTGACACGAGTTTAATGTGAAGAAAACAACAACAACAACACACAGTGGAATCCACACAGCAAATCCATGTGTACCACACACTGCAATCTATGTGTACGCACACACAGGATTTGAGTCTTTGATCTACCTGCAGTCATCCGCTGCGCGCGCCAGATATAGCTCAGTCGATCCATGTGTACGCACACATCACAGGAAGGCACGGAGAAGTTTATTCGATCTTGAGTCGTCGTCAGGTCGTCGCCTGTGCAATCGCAAGATATTAACCCCAAGAAATGACAACCATGGGTGACGCTGCTTCTCGACGCCGCCCGCACACGTCCGGTTGCACGCACAGGCGTCTCACTCCTCAAACTCTCCCACATCACACTCTTACTCAGCCATTGTTGAGTATCGCTCCTGCTCTCCTTTTCTTTCGGGGATGTCGGAAAGGCGCAACAAACATCTTTCAGACGGTTGCCTCTCCTGGCACTAGCGCCAAGCGCAAAACTTCCGACTACGTATTTGGGGAAGTGTGTAAACAAATGCCGATTGTGACGGGGCCGACCTGACCCGTTGCTGCGCGACCTTCGGCGGTTGCGCGAACTACGCCAAGAACCTACGTAGTGGACATCACTCCCGGAATACCTTGCCTCGGCGTCCCCAACCGTACTGCGCCCAATTCGGGGTGTTCGTATTTTAACTGTTGTTGTTGTTTAGCCACCCGTCGTTCCGTAACTTCTGACGATTTGCTACTGGCGGTGGTGTCCCTGGTATAGCCAGTCAATCAGATTGTCGTTCGGTTTGAGGTTGTTTATTAGACTATTTAATGAAAAAGACAAGTGTTGTTTTATTTAGCCATTGTTCACGTTAGACTCACCAACATTGGGAAAATAATAAATCACATGTAAACCTCACGACGTGACAAGTTCCTCTCAGGACCGGCGAAAAGCTGCGACATTGTATGCATTCAGCCGGTCATGCCAAAACACATGCGCGTCGTCGGGAAAAGCACGTGAGACAAACATCATTTCCTAGATGCCCACGTCTCATCAGTCGTGTCTCTGGACAAAAACAAGTACCTTGGAATCGCTTCTCTAAGGAGTGGCGGCGAAAGCCACCGAAACCCTTGTAATAGTCTATATTTTGGCACTTTCCGTTGGATTTGGCATCTTCTCTGGCGTACATCTACATACAGTCGAATGTATTTTTTCAAAAGCAAGCCGACGAATATCGTCGGCGTGCTAGTCACAAGCTTGCTTTTTTTTATCCTGCTTGCGTGTTGCCGGACACATCTTATTCGCCAACGAAGGAAAACAACAACACGTGTTCCACTTGACAAAAAAGCGGAGAGGCACGCGGCAGGGCGGGGCGGGGCCCCGCCGGCAGCAACTCGAGCAAACGGAAAGGTTTTGTACTCGAGCTACTACGCATGCATGCACACAGTAGTACATTGAGCCAACAAAGTGCAACCCGAAGAAGCTACCCCGAAAAAACAACTACCCTAACCGTTTGTCGTCCTCTAGACGCTCGAAAACTACAGCATGTTCGGCCTTATGTTCTGATACAAATACTACATTGTCGCACCCTGTGTTCCCTTTTCCCTGCCGTGAGCTGTATGTATGCTATTAGTATTGCCTCCGGCCCCTCCTTGTGATTTTCTTCTTTCTTTCTTTCTTGTTCTCCATGCCCTCTCTACGATGATCTTGGACGATACCTCGAGCTCCTTGTTATTTTTTATTATATTGATTTATTTATTTTTTTGCCTTCCGACAATTGCAGATGTACCTCAGAAAACTTTCACTT